TAGGCTGTCTTACCCTGCTGAAAAATCCTACTTAAACCAGTCTAGGCTGGTTGGCTGGTTTTAGCTGGTCGACCAGCCTGGTTTAAGAGGGGTTTTGGCCACTTTCAGGCTGGTTTCCAGCCATTTCCAGCCTGCTCTTAGCTGATCAGGCTGGAAAGTGACCAGCTAAAACCAGCTTGACCATCCTGGTTTAAACTGGACATAGCTGGTTTTGGCTGGGCTCCCAGCCTGGCTAGGCTGGTCAAGCTGGTTTTAGCTGGTCATCTCTTAGCCTGTCCAGCTCAAACCAGGCTGGAAACCAGCCTGAAAATGGCCAAAACCCCTCTAAAACCAGGCTGGTCGACCAGCTAAAACCAGCCAACCATCCTATGCTGGTTTAAGCTGGATTTTTCAGAAGGGTTAAATATCCTTTTCATGATTGGTTGCTCCTGTGTTAGGATTGTTAAGGTTCACTGAGTCACTCAAATCAATTTTGTGTTGTAATCGGTAATCAGCATAACTACAGGTTTTGAAGGCCACACAGAAAAAAGGGTGCCCAAACTTTTGCATAGCCTATTTTTAGTTTCAGTTTAATTTCACACATCTCAATACTGCCACACTACGTATTTCTGTCTAAAAACATGACCTTATCTAGCTTTCTCCAGAAACCAAATGGCATTTCACTGTGACCTTCTCTTATAAAGAAAGAGCATACCACTATGCAGCCACAGAGGGGTGCTCAAACTTTTGCATAAAACTGTATTAACAATGTATGTGCTTGACAGCTGGGGTCCGTTCTTCGTATGTGGATTACTCAGTTAGCTGGATTTGGATATTGACGATTTGACACGATCCAGGATTGTTTCGTTCTTCAAAGCTGATCCGAGAGTTGTTGTCATGGCAACAGTTCTGCTAGGTCAAACCTGATCGGGAGCAGGTTCAATTCATATAAACAGGATTAGATCGGCTCAGTTCAAGCAAAGATAATACAGAAAGTATGTACCGAATTCTGATATTTACACTTGGGAAAATGGTAAATATTTTTAACTATATATATATATATATATATATATATATATATATATATATATATATATATAAAGTTATAGTTATTAATAAAATAAATTAAGTTATACATAGTAATAAAACTTATGCAATCTGCACCCTCAAAATGAAAGTACAAAGACTGCCACCTGGTGGTGCAAAGAGAAAACATATTGATATGAACTTTTTAGATTGCTTTAGTACAAATTGTGTATAATAGAAATGCACAATATGTGACTTTTTTAAAGCAATAATACATTTCAGCAGTCATAAACATGTTTTGATAGTTAATATGACGGTGATTTGATGCTTCACAAAAGTTGCAGACGCCTTTACCAATATGAAAATGCTTTTGTAAACAACCAGTTATTCTTTACACCGATTAAACAACGGCTACTATAATAAAGAAAATCTTTTCTAAATGTAGAACTAAATACACTGATTTGCATTGAAATACATGATGAATACTCTTGTCTTGACACATGAAAGTGTAAAGCCTGCAGCTCACAACAAATGTGGAAGGTTATTGCGTGTCATATTTAACAAGCCGTTTACTGCTAATTTGATGTAATTTTGCTCACATGGATAATTGAATATTAATCAGATGATGTCATTACGCTGCTGTGCCGTCAGCCAATCGTTGCATAGCTGATCATGATTTCGAGGATCGATAGATCTGTCCTTCACAACACACGCAGCGATCTCAGATCAGTTCATCCAGACATTCTAATCTGATTCGCGAACTTGTTTGAAGAACCAAATTAGCGAGAGATCAGTTATCAAGATTAAAAGATCCAGGATCTTAGATCATTTAAGCGAGGTACGAAGAACGGACCCCTGTACTATAATGGAGCCACAATTCTTGTGAAAAGCACTGTAAATAATACATTTGAATTTGTCCATTCAATTTTGGACCCATTTAAAGTGTTCTTCCTCTTGTGTTTCAGGTCTGATGACCACTGATGGTCTGGCTGTGGATTCAGTGGGCAGGAAAATCTACTGGACAGACACCGGCACAAACCGCATTGAAGTTGCTAATCTCAACGGCTCCATGAGAAAAGTGCTGGTGTGGCAGAACCTGGACAGCCCTCGTGCCATCGCTCTCTACCATGAGATGGGGTACAGCGTTTCTTTTTCACTGAGCAAAACAAGTTAATCCAGAAATGTTTTTAAGATCATACAGCATACAAACCCCACAATGCTAGCAAACATGTAATGAGACCAAATAAAAATTATGATATAGGAAACCCACCCTTTTTTTCTTGTATGCGTTTTGGTTTGGTTTATTTACTAATTAACATCATTTGCATTTGTTATTTAATATGCATGTAATATATCTGATGTTTTCAATCTCTGGGTCTAGACCAGGGATGTCCAAACTCGGTCCAGGAGGGCCGGTGTCCTGCTTAGTTTAGCTCCAGCTTGCTTCAACACACCTGCCAGGACGTTTATAGTATATCTTGTCAGAGCTTGATTAGCTGGTTCAGGTGTGTTTGATTAGGGTTACTAATAACTGATTTCTTTTATCTTTGCCATGACGAGAGAGTGCACAATATTTGACTTGATATTTTTCAAGACACTAGTATTAGCTAAATGTGCTCCTGCCAGACCCAGAGATTGGCTGAATGGATTCATAAATAGTAAAACTCGCCTGTTTTATTCTAGGGGAGCTGTAATTTAATCTTTTTTATTTTATTTTAAGTGGAGTGTTTATTTTATGATGGTCTTGCAGTGGTGCACATTCCCAGTATGTGATAATTAATAGTGTAATGCTGTGTTTTCAGATACATGTACTGGACAGACTGGGGTGAACATGCCAAGCTGGAGAGATCCAGTATGGATGGGTCGGATCGTGTGGTTCTGATTAATAATAATCTGGGCTGGCCGAACGGACTGGCTGTCGATAAAGCAGGCTCTCAGCTGCTCTGGGCTGATGCTCACACTGAGGTTAGTCTGGGTGCAAGGACACTAGCAGTAAATCCGCTCCTCAGATACTGGGCAAATCAAAGTTGAATTTGAGTTATTTTTTAGCTTATAACAGAGTGTCCATTCAGTCACCAGAGATCAAACGTGCGTGATGTTTTGAACTATTTTTAGATAAAATGTGTATTTCTAAATAATATTAGAGAGCGTTTTTATTTAGGAAATATTTTAAGGGAAATGTTTGAAATGTTTATTAAGAAACTGATCTGATTGCATGCTATATATTGTATATTTAGTGTAGGTTTTGCCATAAATATAGCCAATGCTGCTGATGTAGCATTAAAACATGAATGAATAAGTGAATGAATGAATAAATTAATTAATTAAATAAATAAATAAAATGAATAAATTAATTAAATAAAGTTAAAGATTGAATAAATAAATAAATGAATAAATAAATTAAATAAATCAATAAAATGAATAAATTAAATACATTTAAAGATTGAATAAATAAATTAATTAATTAAATGAATAAAAAAATTAATTGAATGAATGAATAAAATAAATGAATAAATGTATCAAATAATTAAATTAATAAATAATTATACTAAATAAATAAATAAACAAATAAAATAAATAAATAAATATATTTAGTAATATATAATTAATATTTATTTTTGTTATATATATATATATATATATATATATATATATATATATATATATATATAACAAAAATAAATAATAAATATAAATTATTTAATATATATATTTATAAATTTATTTATCTATTTATTCATTTATTTAGTATAATTATTTATTAATTTAATTATTTGAT